TTAGATTCATTCCTTGAAGCCTGCTAGTTTACTTTTTCTTCATTCTCATCGTCTTTTTCCTTTGCTTCTTTTCTTTTCTTTTCAATTTTTTTTTTCCTTTGTCGCTCATACATCAAGGGAAAAGGGGAGAAAGCACAAACCTTTCCAACTTTTTCCTTCACAAAAACCCGAGTTTCCTCTCTGAATTTTGAGTACAGCCATCCCACACCCTCTTCTTTACCCCTCCCTTTTTTTCTCACTTGAGTTTTTCCATCTTCCAGCTTCTTCGTAGACTTGCCATGTTTGTTGTACCATCTTTCAGTTTATTTACCTAATTTGGACATCAAGAGTTTGAAGCTAGGAAAACAGCTTCCATTTCATCTCACTAATACACTTATCCTGTTTTCTGAATTCTACAAAGTTCCTCAAATATATATATACATATATATATATATATTTTCTGAAACGTTTGAATTCTATTACTAGCTGCTCTTTTTCTACTCCCATATTCTGGAAGGAAATCGAGGTTGAGATTTTCCTAAGAATCCAAACCTTCAACAAGATAGTTTAACTTCCGTTAATAATACCGTTTGGTGGATTTTCATAATTTTCCAATATTTTGTTTTGATTTTCAAAAAGTGGGTATTCTTTAGATTCCTCAGGGAGGTGGCTGTACCAGAAAAAAAAAAAAAAAGTATTCTGATTCCCCACAAATGCTTCTTGATTTAACACTGATAATGCCATAGTAAAATCTCCACCTCTCTGCATTTTCCCCTACTGGATTCTCTCCTTATCTTGTTCTGTCTCTCCTCTCCTCTGTTTCACTGCATTCAGATATCTTATCTAGCTGAATCACCGATGCAGCGCGATTGCAAAATCTTGTGAAGTGTAATCAAATTTCCTAGCAATTCCCACTTTTTTCGGTTTCTGATGAAGTGGGAGATGGAGATTTTACCCCCAGCTTCTTATCTTTCGAATTCGGGTTGGTTGGTTGAGGAGAGCAAGTCCACAAAGTGGACTCCTGCGGAGAACAAGGCTTTTGAGAATGCTCTTGCAGTGTTTGATAAGGATACCCCAGATAGATGGCAAAAGGTTGCAGCAGTGGTTCCAGGGAAAACTGTGATGGATGTGATTAGGCAATACAAGGAACTGGTAGATGATGTGAGTGACATAGAAGCCGGGCTAATTCCAATTCCTGGTTATGGTACCTCTCCTTTTACTTTGGAATGGGGGAGCGGTCATAACTTTGATGGATACAAGCAATCTTTCATCGCAACTGGGAAGAGATCCTCAGCTCCTAGGCCTTCAGAACAAGAGAGGAAGAAAGGTGTACCTTGGACGGAAGAAGAGCACAAGTAATGAGTTTTACATTCGTGGTTTTATTTGAGACTTTTAGTTTAAGGAACTTTTGATTAGTTTTTTTTGTTCGTCTCCCTGGAGCTGGTCAGGAAATGAGTATAGCTTAAATCTTTCGAGGACAAGAATTTGAGTCCAAACATTCAGAATTAGATTCTTGCGTTTTGCTTACTTTTTTATTTTTCACGTGAGTTGTGCATAAATTTTTTGCAGGTTGTTTCTGACGGGGCTTAAAAAATACGGAAAAGGGGACTGGAGAAATATCTCAAGAAATTTCGTGATCACAAGAACACCAACTCAAGTGGCTAGCCATGCACAAAAGTACTTTATCAGGCAACTTTCTGGTGGGAAAGATAAAAGAAGAGCAAGCATTCATGATATAACAACAGTTAACCTTAACGACAATCAGATCCCTTCTCCGGACAGGAAAAAATCGTCGTCACCGGACACTTCGAATGTGATTTCCCAGCAGCAGCCGAATTCTACTGCGATGCACAAAATGGCTTTCCAGTGGAATCAGGGGAATAGTAATGGAGCAGTCATGAATTTCAACATGGGCCATGGAAACATATTCATGCCTCCCCACGGAGTAAACTCCTGTGATCTTAAAATGCAGGGTCAGGATTTGCAAAGAGGTGGTATGCATAATTCTTATGTAGGTTGTCAAAATATGGTTTTTCAGATGCAATCCACGCATCAGTATCCTCATGCATGAGATGGGAACCGTCAATGGAAACTCTAAAAATGGCTGAAAGTGCATAAATGCATAATTTCAACTGAATAGATCGCTTGTTTCTCCTGCTTTCTTTTCTTTTTTCTTCTTTATCCTGTAAATGTGTTCCTCGGGACATGACTTTTGGTAGTTGAAATGTGTTGGGAAAAGTTCAGGTTTAAAAAATGCAGGTTCCTTGGGCATGAAAGTTCTGTACTTCTCCTTGTAACAAACGGGTACCCGTGGTGATCCGTAGCATAATGCTACGACAGTAGGATTGGATTCATTTGCAAGTTAAAACATTCTCGGTTATGCTTGATGTTAGGAAAAATCGTGATAGGCGGCGGCTTTGCATTAAAAGGCTGCTGCTTCTATATACATATATATATATATATAGGTAGTGGATTCTGAGAACCGACTTCAACCAAGGCTACAGGTACAAATGGCACTCATTTTATAGTTTCCTAGTATCGTAAGCAAAAGGTCTGGAGCATTTGTTGTTGCTGCTAGGGATGCCAATTCGAGTGCAAGTTTGAGGTTGATTTGCACTCCAAGCATGGACTCTAGTTGTAGTTGAACCAATGCAACTGAAAAGAAACGGCCATTTCATTCTTAAATCATAATGGATGCTCGACTCAAATACATTGGCCGGCCGAGTCACGGAGCACTTGACTTGGAGTCCACTGTAGAAAAGTTTCGAAGAAGCCATTTCATCAGCCCGTTCTAACTCCTATTGAGTATTTTGACTACAAATTTCTTGGTTGACCGTACTTGACCGTGGAGATAGTGTAGTAGAAGATGAGTCTGAATCCCACTAATTGCAGCATCATATGCTTCCATTTTCTTTTCTTGTAAATAAAATGTTTTGCTTCTTTTTGAGCTCTTTTAAAGCGACCCTTTTGAGCAAGTAACAAGATCCTGCCGATAGAAACACGGATTAATGATTAAGCCAAGAAGATCTATTGTACAGCACAAGATCCAGTCCAGATTTCTCTGAATATTTAATATGTGAATGTATGGCGCTTTTTTGGTAATAATCTATTGCTGTGAACTTCACTTTTGTGACTAAAAACTCACCAAAAATGTGTCTTCTTCTCTATCAGATCCAGTAGTCAAATTTGGTATGACTGTTGCACGAGTGCTGAAGTAACTAGTCCTTGAAAGCATCATTGATTTGTGATACTAAGAGTACCGTACCAACTGGCTGGATTATATAAAAGTTAGAAAGAGAGGGGGGGGGGGGGGGAAGGTATCATCACCACTGTTCTGAAACATGGAGCTTAGTAGTGAATAGTAATGGCCCCTGTTGACGGAGACAAACATCCTCACCTTTTCTTTCACTCACCAGCCTGTACTTCTTGTGTGCTAATTATTTAACCCACGCGTCGCGCGTCACTTCTATTTTTTGTATCTATACAAGAAGCACTTCGATTTCTTCTCCGAGAGGGAAATTTTTAGTACTGCTACTCGCTCGCTATCTTTTATGAGTGCCATGCAGCCTAAAATTAGTTCTGAACCCCTTTTCCTGAGCTGAGCTAAGCTGACCTTTTAAAAAATAAGGCTATATTAAATTGTTACGGTAATTTTTTTATAAAAAATTTTAAAAAAATACAATCCAAACAAAGATTAAACGATGCAAACCAAAACCATCAAAACGCCGTCCTAACTCTTTTCTAGTTTCTCGTCTCTCGTAATAATAATAATAAATTATATGTACAAGCATGTTTTTATTGAAAAGGGAGATAAATAATTCTCTTTTTCTTTGTGACAAAAAGGAAGAATTGAACTTGTTTTTTTTTATAAACAAAAAGAAAAAAATCACTAGTTAAAAAGGGTTAACTTCCAAAATTAATACAACAATTTCTGTGACCTTCCTCCCAAAGACTTAGAAAAGAAGCATAAAATCCAGCTTTGTCACTTGGATTTAGTATATTCAGTCCCAACCAATGGGGTAGTAAATCTGAAGGGGCAGAGAAAGAGCAGCAGTGTGGTGTATACTCTATAGTAGTAATACTTTCCTATCGCAATCGACAAAACCAACCACACTACTATCTTTTGGAAAAAGGAACAGCATTTCAGCAAGTTGCACCAGCAAGGAAGCCTAAGCACCTTCCTCAATTCAACTGATTCGAATTTTTATCTGCAACTTAACCACTTACAGCCACGCATCTATCTAAGCCCACCATCTTACACTTTCGGTTATCTAATTCGTTTCTTCTATTATTAGAAAACATTCTGATTCTTCCTTGATCAAAGTAAATTTTGCTAAAATCACACAAGAAAGAATACAGCTCCTGCCTTACTAATTACTAGAGAGAGAGACGGGTAATCTACGGAGTAATTACTAGCTCCAAAGACGTAGAAAATGAAATTGCCTCGAGGGCTCATGTATATTAACTCGGGAACCAAAGTTTTAATTCCCACGGAGCTGCATTGGCCCACGGAGATCTGAAAATGATCTCGTGGGGGCTTTTAGTTGCTTAAGAGAGAGAGAGAGAATATAGGATGGACGGAAAGCAGAAGATGCATCATGTCTATGTACCCTCATCCCCATATTATACAAGTATAATAATAATCACCTGATTGCATCATCAACGTAGAAAGCTAAACTGGAGGGAGGGAGGACTTGGGATAGCCATTAGCCAGCCACAACTATGTAGTACGATCCCATGTACGAATACAGAGGTGAAAAACTATTTGTTACTTTCTGGGTGTACCATAAAATTACATCAATTGGCTTCTTTTCTGTTTTATTATTCATTCCTATGGAAAGATGGATATACCAAGAGCTTTAATTCTCTACTGACAGTCACCTCTCTACCGCTTGTGCATCATCCTTAAAAGGCAGGGTGCACAAGCACACAGGAAAATTAGTCTGACAAAACTGAAATACTCCCCGTGTTAAAAAAAAAAAAAAAAAAGAGCTTTAATTCTCCATTTCAAAGCAAGCAACTAAAAGGTTTGGACATAGTCTAAGAGCTTTAAATTTATTAACTACTGGAGGTCTAATTTATCACAACACCTCTCATGAATTTGGTCCTGGACGGCCAGCAAATGTCACTTTTTTTTAAAAAAAAAAAAAAATTACATTTCTTCATTCTTGCCTGTCAACCCGTAGCCCAAAGGAAAAAGAGGGTCATATGAATTTGATTCTATATGCATTGGCAGTTGATCAACGCTTTTAAACCACGTCACTGGGAGGCGTCCGTGAAATGCATGATCTCCAAAGAGGACATCTGTGATCCCCCTTCCTTCAGTTCCAGGCAACCAAGCAGCTATAAACGCTTCTGCCTTTTCCAAAGTTGAGGGCTCTAAAACCAAGGGCCTCCCTGAAATCAGAATTACCACAGTTGGAACTCTGTCAGCAACTGTGCTTATGAGTTCATCTCCATTAAAAGGAATTTTGAGCACTGGGTCATCCCCTCCAGTTTCCACATATGGACTCTCACCAACCGCTACAATGGCGAAGGAAAATTCTTCGCTGGTAAAGGTTTCTGGCGAAGGATTTTTCTCATATACCACTTCTGTGTTGCTTCCCACTACTTCTTTTATTGCATCCAATATGGTTGTGCCTATAAAACAAACTCACAAGCTTTTAATGCCTGAAAACATTTACTTGCTCTAGCCAATATATCTGCTTTTAAAATTTTGTGCCTTGAACCAGAAAGCAGCTCTCTCAATAAAAAGAAAAACTCTGCTGGCCCTGGTCTGATAAGTAGGTGAAGGGGGTGAAATAAAATACCTTCACATTCCAGCATTCAATCCGAAAGATGTTCCTTACTTTTTTCCTAATTCTCACGTTAATCAACTCCAGAAACCATGTTTCGCTAATTAACCAAAATTTTCTACATTTAGACAGCATATTCTCCATAAATAAAACAAGGGGACCAGAAACAGTTACCTATGGTTATCCTGCCACTGGTTCCAGTCCAGGTGCAAGTCCAACCTCCGCACTGATACCCAAGGTCATCTGCATGTACTCCCGTGACAAGAACTCTTTTTGCTTTCCTATCTAATGGAAGAAAGGGTTTCTTTGGATCCTTTCCATTCTTCAACAAAACTAAAGACTTTCGAACAGCTTCACGTGCTAATTCTCGATGAGGCTGAAACAACAATCATGCAACAAAAAATAAACTGAATAATACTGAATGTGCATAGACATACTCAATCTAAATTGAAATAGTGAATCATGCTGAATCATTCTCAATGAACTTGAAATAAAGTGAGACTTTAATCAAATGCATAACAGTCTAAATTTGAGTACAGTTCAAGTCCAAAGTCATGACTCCTAGTTGAACTTTACAAGGGAAGAAGCAAAAGGTTGCACCACAACCCTACCACAAACTCATGTTATCACTATCAGAAGCAGAAAAGTCTGACATACATGGATTAGAAAAATAGCTTCAAGCGTTCATGGGGAAATCAAGGTTTAAGGCTTGACAAGGAACAAATGAACCATCAAAATCTGTTAAAATTCTTTGAGAAAAACACAAAATGCTTAGACAGATGCAGACCATATTGGGGATTTGAAGGCTATCTTTCAAATACTAATTTAATTAAACTAAGCCAAATTTCAAGAGAGGCAAAAGTTAGCAAAATGCTACACAAAAGCTGAACAATCAAGTTAATCTCAGAATGGAGCACCACCTTACTACCAACCAACTCAAGCAAAGATCTGTCCGTGAATGGATGCTCAAAGAGTCCGGCAACAAATTTGACTCTCAATATCCTTTCAACAGAATCATTAATCCTGTCCATTGGTATTTCCCCAGATTGTACCAAAGATAACAGCTCCTCCAAAAACAGTTCATATCTAAAAGGCACCATGACCTGATAATTGAGTGAGGCAAGAGGTTGAAAACGTTATGTCATAGATTGTCTAATTCACGCTTTAACTAGAAGAGTTAATATTACCATGTCAATTCCTGCATTGACTGTAGACAATATACATTGACGATAGTTTGAGCCATGTGGATGGTAAAGCCGGTCAAGTGCTTCCCAATCTGAAATAACCAGACCCTGTAGCAGAATTTGTATTTAGATTTTCTCTACATCTTCAGAATACCAGACATCTGAGGACATGTGCCCAGGTTCAAAATTCATAAATCGGTTCAGCCAGCTTTCTGTGGACGTACAAAACCTCACAAACAGGGCAATATTAAATGAACCCCTTTAGCTTTATTCTAAACCAGGTGCTTTTAACTGCTCCACTAAGAACAAGAAGAAACAATTCCAGTATAAAGAAAAATGCCAAATGATCGTTGGATTTCAGCCTTATTGCTACCATGTTGAAATGCTGTTTTCTATCTAAAGGATAATAAATTGTGCAAGATAAACTAAATTAATTTTACCTTGAATCCCAGCTTCTCTTTCAATACTTTTGTCAGAAGAAAGTGATCAGTATGGAGTCTACTTCCATTCCAGCTGCTGTAGGATACCATTACAGTACAAACGCCTTGAGATAGACAATCTAGATATGGCGCCATGTGGATCCTCTCCAACTCCTCATATGCCAATATAGTATTCCCCTCGTTGATACCTTTATCAGTTCCCCCATCACCAACGAAATGCTTAGCAGATGCCATAACATTTTTTCTGGATTTAACCAAGAAAATTAGTGCATACACATTCCAGTAGAACTGTAATTAACATTGAGGCCTACTTCTTGGCCAACAATAATAAAACATGGAAATATGAGGAAGAATCCAAACTGTTTATATCAGTAAAAAATGGATTATCATTTGGGAAAAGAAACAGAGCCTCAATTGCAAAAACTTTAAATGTGCAACCAAAAACGTCAAAATTCTAATTGAGTTCTCATAACAACTTTTTCCGATTTATACTATAAATCTTACTTGACTTTATGAACTTTTCATGGGAACAAGTTTAGCAAATGTGATGATAAAAAGTCTGTTAAAATGCAAGCAAAAACAATTTTTAAGACAAGATTGCAAAAATTTAACTGTATGCATCAACTTTAGCTACCTCCCAGCAAGAAAAGGGTAGCCATTCGGGTGCCCTGCAGGCGGCTGTCCTTGCAAACCTGTGACAAGGCAGGAGAACTTTCTAACAAGTTCTGTATCTTCACCGTGACTCTCATAGTATCTTCCCCATCTTGGATCTTTAGCAACCTGCCAAGATGTTTCACATTAAGTTTCCCATGGTTAGCAGATTGCAGTATCCTGGAACTATGAAAAACTCAATTTGAAGAGGACAGAGGGAGAGTTTGTGAACAAAGAATCACTTTCTTGTAGATACTGACATGTAGCCTTGTAATCTTAAAGCTGAACATCTTAATACTGCACAAAATACAAATGAGAATAATCCTTCTATTTGAACAAAAAAACATCCGAGCGAATGATCAAAACTAAATCCTTATGAAAAATACAAGTCGTCTATTTACAACTTTGCCACAACAGAGTTCATAGTTTAAAAGGTTTCAACTAGAAATCAACTGAAATCTGGTTCATTTTGCCACAAATGACTTGGTACATTTTGCAATTAGATATTTTTAATAGGTTTCTATTCATTTATTTTTTGTGTAGATTTATTGGAACTCGGGCTCATGTGATCTTAAATACAACCACTTTATTGACTTGAATCATGGAAAAGAACCACACAGGAATGAGATACTTAACACTGCATTTTCTCATGTGGATCTACAATAGATAAGGCAGTCAGCCGCGTGCAGCCTCGAGTAAGATCATAATCCAGCAGTAAACTAAGGGGTTAAGGATTGCCTAAGGCGAATCGGGTGACATTCCAATGAAGCAAAATTTGCAATCATTGACTCTTGAATTAGTTAAAAACTTAGACATTTCTGATTGGTTTTCTCCTCATAATAACTCCATTAGTCCCTGCTCCATATCCACCATAGAAACCTACCTAGATAACTGCAGAAACACATGGGACTTGTTCCACAGGTGCACAAGTTTCCCAAATGCATGTTACTAGAATAATACTTTATCCAATGCATCCCCGAAAATTCAACATGACAGGTAATACACATAAAATCATGAGAGCCAAAAAAAAGAAAAAGAAAAAGAAAAAAGTGTATATCATAAGCTTTTAATCCAGAATAATATTAGCAGCTCACAGCAACACATGGAGCAAAGGAATAATGAGCACCACAGGCCCTAACTTCAAGAGCAGTTACTTGCCCTATCCTTTTAACTAGATCAGCATCCCTGAAAAAAATAAAAAAGTAGTAGATGGAGCACAAATCCAAAACGTCCATTAATTGTAAAATTAGCTGGTATTAATTTACAAACATAATAAGTATGGTAGGATACAGCGACAAAGATGAGCTAAAATTTACCTGGTGGCACCGAGGCCAATGTTATGAGGAAAGATAGTAGTACCATAGACATTGTTGTTGCCATGAACCGCATCCACACCATAGAAAATGGGAATGCCCAGCCTCGACCCTACAGCTCCCTTCTGAAACCCATCGATCATATCTGCCCAGTCCGCCGAGTTGGCCTTCTCAAACGGCTTGCTCCCTCCACCACTCAAGACACTTCCTGCATACAATGTAAACCACATCAACCCACCAAAAAAACAAGAAAGAAAGAAAAGAAGAGAAAAATAGCAGGAGGATCGCATACAATGATATACCTATGAAACGGTTTTTGACGGCATCGGGAGTGGCGACGCTGCGTTCGATCTGGGTCATCTGACCGATCTTCTCCTCAAGAGTCATGCGGGATAGAAGGTCCTTGACTCTGGCTTCAACGGGAGCATTTGGGTCTTTGTAAACGCAATCCATGGTCACCACCAGTCTACTCAAATGGATTAACTCAGAATATCAGAAGCTACTCAGATTACTGGTAAGCACTCCTATTATTCTATTTTTCTCTCAATTTGCTACTAATGTTCCTGAAGCAGCAGCTGAAAATCTGAAAGCTCAGGTAACGCTCTGTGACAAGACACAAGAGTAGGACGGACTAATAAAGAAAGACTCAGTACTATCTATTACTAAGATGATGAGTCAGAGTAAAACGACAAGGACTTGAGGAGAAGAGGGGCATTCCATTGGAAAACTGCCAGTATTATATGTGGAGTACACCGAGGACAGGGATGCCGCCAGGGCTGGCTGAATTATACAGATAGACACAGAAGCGGGAAGCGAAGGTAAGTGGGTGGTTGGTGAATGCGAGGCCCGCTGTATTTTTCCGCTCCCTTTTATGTATACCGTAAACAGTTAACACTGGACGAGTAGTTACTAGCTGACATTTAATTGCCACCAGGTTAAATCAATGCAATAGGACTGTTAACACGGCAAATGTTTAAAAGTTACCATTTAGAAAGTCTTGTTCAATTAATTTTGAAAACTTGATTTTAGTTTTTGATTTTTTAGAGCACGTCTTAAAGTGTTTGTTTAAGGTGCTTTTAGATTCTAATTCTGAGCTAATTTCTATGCAGACAAAAATATCCTTCGTATTTCAACATAGTAATTAAACATAATTATTAAATTACCTAATTATTAGATAGTTATTATAGTCTCCCTATTTTTTTTTTTTTATATTCTCATCCTACTCCTAGATTCACCTATGTCCCTCTTATATTTCTCATCCAACATTACATTTAATCTTCATAAGAAAAATAATTAATTATATAAAAATTATTTAATTAACACAAAATTTTATTTATGTACCATATAAGGGTATCTTGGTTATCTTTTTTGTTAAAATCAACTTTCTAACAATTTTAGAACCCCTATGCATTTGTTAAAATAGTTTTCTTAACAGTAAATGAGAACACATAAATTATTCTAGAAAAATTAATTTTCAAGAATCAATTTTTTATAAAATTAGCATTAGTTGAAAAAAAAACTATAAAAAACGGACTTTAGGATAACTGAGAATGGTAAGCATTTAAAAGGTATCATCCTTTTAAATGCTTACCATATCACGAGCAGGGTAAGAGATTAGTGGCTCCGAAGACGCAAATCTTATGAGTTACTCGTCATAACTGAGACGTGAAAGGCCAGTGCATGATGAACCCACGAATGATCTGCAATAAATGTCCATGTACTACTTTCCTGATAAACACTCAATTCAATTATGTTCTGTGCGACTCTATTTAATCATTATTGTATGTGTTTAAATTTTTTATGTACAAATTTTGAATATATATTTAAATATTTTATTCATGTATATAATTTTTATTTTAAATATAATAATATAATATAATTATATATCAAATAATGTAAAAAAGTGCAAGAACCGAATTCTACCAAATCCTAGCTGCACGGGCTCCTCTCGCTTACTTTCCAGTAACTATACATTGAGTCAACATAGTTACTATCGTTAGTTCCCATAGTTTGGGTGAATAATTGACCGCGTTCACCAGATCAGGTGGATTCTTAACTTTTCAGGAGATGGAAACTTTTGATTTGAACACGCAACCATTGTTGAAAAAGTGGCTCCATCAAATCAACTAAACTAACTTGTCTCGGTGATATTTTCAATTACTTGCCATGCTAGGAAAGGGTTAATCTTATATAAGTTGTTACGCACATTATCCGTGTATATAATAATAGAATAATTAGTATTTTTTTTTAATCTCTGAGTATACTATTAATGTAAATAAGATTAATCATAATATAAAATAACATGAAAATTGACAATACTATAGGAAGATAAACTTCCAAAAGTGGGATTTTTTTTTTAAATGAAGAAAAAGAGAAGAACATTCTCAAATGATGGTGCTCTTCAAATCTCTTTTTAAAGAAAAAACATTTAAAGTGAACACGATTTTTTTTTTCTTCAAAAAAAGATAGCATTTACAAAATACATATTACGTAACATTGTTAGTTGAAATATTGATAGTGTGTCCTTACTTAAATTAATCAACAGTTTACCCACCTTATATAAAGTACAGGGAGATTATGTGAATAAATGTAATGATTACAAGTAAATAAAGTGAATATTTATATAAATTATAAGAAAATTTTATGAATATTAAGATTTTATCACAGTCGCTAAAAGCGTGTTTGGTATAAACATTGTAACTGATTGTACATTTCATCTATTTTCCAATTTATATAAAACTACGAAAGGATTACGTAACTTAGAAGAATCATCCAAAATTCTGTAAAACCACAGGGGTAATAAGTAATTTACCCGAAAATTTATTACTGAATTTGCCAACAAATTGGAGCTCTAAACGTCAATTGTAGCTTCTTGATAACTTGCATGCTCCACGAGAACCCCCACCCCCTCCCCCCCACAAACAAAAAAAAAAAAAAATTGTTCTGTTCGCTCAAAACATGCAGAGAGTAATTTCAGGGAAGTTAAAATACATCTCCGTTTTTTAAAAGTTTCCTAAAATATTTTCCTGCTCACAAACGGTCATCCATTATTTCACACTCAAAATACATCTCCGTTTTTAAAATCTCGAATGCTTCAGCGGAAAGTACTACAGCACTTCACCTTTACTAGTCAATCCAAAGCCAATTGGGAAAAGAGGATCATAGGACTTCTCTACAGCGTTACTTCGCAGTTGATCAACCCCTTTGAACCATGTCATAGGAAGTCTTCCCTGAAACCCACAATCTCCAAAGACAACGTCCGTAATTCCACCGCCTTCAGTTCCAGGTAACCAAGCAGCAACAAAAGCTTCAACTTTATCCAGAATACGTTGCTCTATAACCAAAGGCCTCCCAGCTATCAAGATCACCAATGTCGGAACCTTATCAGCAACCAAGCTAATTATTTCAGCTCCATTAAAATGAATTGGAAGTTCTCGACTATCACCACCATATTCCACATACGGGCATTCACCCACAGCTACAATAGCAAAAGAAATATCTTGGCTCGCTAAGGTTTGTGCTGATGGATTTTGCTCAAATATCACCTCCGTATCGCTCCCAGTAACCTCTCTGACTGCGTCCAAAATGGTTGTGCCTAAACAAAAGAAACATAATCGTTACACTTTGAGGTAGAGATGCGGAAAGATACATTATGTTTGTTTTGTAGAAAGAATCATACTCCTGTCCTTTACTCTCATGGCTTTGACATCATAAATGTCTTCTGGCAATAATAATTACATCACCATACTTCGGTTGCTTATTTAATCACAGACAAATCAAAATAGGGAAACAAGAAACAGTGAACAGGACATACTGATATCAGATCAGTGATGCCTTACAAGATCTGAATCTGGCATGTCCATGTCTCCAATACAGTTACTTATTAGTAATTCTTCAGCTTTTAAGAAGCAAAAGATAGGTAATCAGAACCCAATACAGGAATATTGCTAAGATCACTTACCTATTGTTATTCTGCCACTTTTTCCTTCCCAAGTAGCAGTCCACCCGCCACATTGATATCCAAGATCATCACCATGTGTCCCAGCAATCAAAATCTTTTTAGCATTACGATTTAATGGAAGAAATGATTTCTTTGGATCCTTCCCGTTCTTCAAAAGAACTAATGACTTGCGAACTGCTTCCCGTGCCAGTTCCCTATGCAGCTGAAACAATTGTTATAAATTAAAGGTGTTTAGGTTAGAAATAAAACTATACAAATTTGTTCCTTTCATCATCCTGTCCCTCAAGAAAAGATAAAAATGACAAAGATCAGATACTCAAGTTGACTCTCTAGTCTCCATATATGATCAAGGTCTGCTAATTTAAGTTTAAGTGATCTAACAAGATCCTATAAAGCAAAATTTCATAATGAAGCAACCATTACCTCATTAGTTCTAAATGGGTTGATAGTTCCTCTATGCACTGCAGTTTCCACAGAAAAGGAACAAGAGGATACACATAAACAACCAAGGGATGGACAAATGAAAGGGTAGAAAAGAAGTTAAAAAGAAGAAAAAATCATCACAACCCAACAAGAAAGTGAAAAAGAGAAACCAAGATACTTTGTTAAAGATGGCCCTGTGCTTTCCAGAACCCCCGCAGCCCCGCCCCCTTCTCCTCTTTCCCCTTCCCAGTAAGCTCTTCTTATTTTGTTCAACCATATATATATTGTTCCAAAGAACATTTGTCAACAAATGAAAAGTAAGTTTAGCATCTAAAAAAATAAAAAACAACTGTAAGAGTTTAAAATGGTAAAGGACAAGTCGTCCCTTCAGTGACAAAAAATTTGAAACTTAAGCAAGATCCCACCTCACAGGGGTATAAAGATGCATAACCCAACATATCCATGAATTTTTACAGAGCAATCTTCAGGCAAAAGCAAATTTCCTTTATTGTGCGTTTGTGCATCTTTGGTGTCTACTGTTGGCAAACATGTTATTGCCAGGGAAAAAAAGGAAAAATTAGCAGATAGAGCTTAGAAATATGGCTAGCTCGCATCTGACAGATTTCATGTTAAGAAGAATTCTCAACAATCAGACGCAAAATAAACAGAGAGAGATGAATTAGGTGCTCTAACCACAGTGACAGCCATACTGGGTCAAGATGTTGTCGATCTGGTTAATTCTGTTCAGTGGAGTAATTATCCCCTACTTGCATAAATACAGGGACTTTACAATATTTAGCCAAACATGATATTTTAACAACCTTACCTTGCATCCAACTGCAGGCAGTAAGGATTTATCACTCAGAGGATATTCAAACAGTCCAGCAGCAAACTTCACCCTCAATATACGTTCAACTGCATCGTCAATCCTAGCAATTGGTATTTTTCCAGATTGCACAAGATATGTCAAATCTTCCAGAAACAACTGATATCGAAAAGGCACCATGACCTGCATATTCACACTCTGAGTGCATATAGCTGTCGAGAAAGGTCAGAGCCCACGTGTGGAACTTAAAATATTTCTATACCATATCAATTCCAGCATTGATGGCAGACAGGACAGATTGCTGATAGTTAGATCCATGAGGATGAAAAAGCCGGTCCAGTCCTTCAGCATCGGAAATTATGAAGCCCTGCAGAAGTGCATCTACCATATCAACTTATGCTGTAATCATTTCCATAATAGAAAGATGAACTTTTGTGCAGTGGGACCTCTTTGTCTAATTCCAGAAAATAAAGCAAACAAGATTCAGTATCAGCATAATTTAACTTTACAAACCAGTTTAACAAGTGAAACTATTTGAGCAACAATCTATAAAAGCTCTAAAATGCACATTTATTGCTGGAACAACATAATAATATAATATTGATAGAGAAATTTCTAAGAAGTGTAATGGGCTGACCTTAAAGCCCAGTTGCTCTTTCAAAATTTGTGTAAGAAGAAAATGACTAGCATGTAATGGCACCCCATTCCAGCTAGAATACGATGCCATAATGGTACAAACTCCCTGAGAAATACAGTCAAGATATGGAGCCATATGGATCCTCTCAAGATCATCATATGACAATATGGCATTTCCTTCATTTATACCTTTGTCAGTACCTCCATCGCCAACAAAATGCTTTGCGCATGCAACAACATTGTTTCTGGAGTTAAAAAATTGCAAACTTGAGTAAACAAATCAAATAGATGACTAAAGCAAAATCATATAGATATCCTAGACTCTTTGAGAGATTGAACTCTGAAAGTTGAGAAAGGGATCTGTGAGTGCGGATAGGATCTCCTATGATAATATTATACCAATAAGAAGAGCCACTTTCACAAAATACATGTAAACAGTTTTGACATGGTATGAGAAACTCTGTTAAATCTCTGCTCACTCTTAATGTTTAAATTGGCTCATGATTAACTACTCTAGTGATGGTTATATGGGGTTTTAAACTGACTTAACCACAGGACTGGAAACAAGTGTCCAGTATATGCTCAATTAAGAATTCAATCTCTTTAAGTTAGAGGACCACAAAGAGATATGAGAAAGTGTTAGTTTTACCAACCTTCCAGCCAGAAAAGGATAGCCCTTCGGATGCCCTTCAGGTCTTTGTCCCTGCAAACCTGTGACAATGGATGTCATATTTCTAACAATCTCAGTGTCCTCCCCAAAACTCTCGTAGGATCGTCCCCACCTGGGATCCCTACATACCTGTCATGAAATAAGAAAAATCATTCTGAAAAGCTAAGACATATATCTTAGATTATTATTATGATTATTATTATCATTGGCTTTTCCAGCCTTGTAGGCCTACTGAATTGGTACCTTATATTTTGCAAAAAAATCAACAAAAAGCAAGAAAATCAGGCCCAACCAATCATAACAAGCTGAATAAAGCAAATCCCACCAATATTATACTACAAAGAGACAATGTCAAAGTAACAAAAGAAAAGGACTACGAAAGAAGAAGAAGAAGAAGAAGAAGAGTGAACATACAGCAACACATGGAGCAAAAGCATAGTGAATCCCACTCGCCCTAACTTCAAGTGCAGTAGCAACCCCAATCCTCTTAGCCAACTCAGAATCCCTTAAATCACATTGTATACAACTAATTGACTAATAGTATTATAGAGTTTATATTCGATTCTTGAAATTATAGGTCCTAAACAAAATTTGATCTTTACAAGTTGAAACGAACCTTGTGGCTCCGAGGCCAACATTGTGAGGAAAAATGGTGGCACCATAGACATTATTGTTGCCATGAACAGCATCAATCCCATATAAAATGGGGATACCTAGTCGAGACTCCAATGCTGCCTTCTGAAAATTATCGACCATGTCAGCCCAGTCAGAAGTCAGCGCCATCTCTATCGGCCCACTTCCGCCAACGCTCATGATACTTCCTGCAACACGTTGTTGAAAATGAAAAAGATTCAGTTAGTCAGATGCATCGGAAAACATAAAAATCCAAACTTTTAGCAAGTGGGCTTGATGGGGACCTATGCAGCGGTCTTTCAGGACAGAAGGGGTGGCGACAGAACGCTCGATCTGAGTCATTTGTCCGAGTTTTTCTTCAAGGGTCATGCGAGAAAGGAGGTCTTGAACTCGAGCTTCAATCGGCGCAGTGGGATTCTTGTATATGAAATCCATGGCTTGTCCTTCAGCTTTGGTCGTCTGCTGCTGGTAGCCTACTTGCAGTGCTTAAAATTTGGAAGTGGAAGGGATGATTGACTATTGGGTTGAAACTTGAAACTTGACAAGTGAGCAGAAGTGGAAGCGTTTGATTCTGCTAATCTAAAGGAGTGAGGAAAATGGAAGGCATGCAAGTGAACAACGAAAGTCTAACTTTAATAGCTAGTTTGGGAGATGGGGTTTGACTTTTCTTTCATTGGATTCAGTATGCAACTACAGTTGAAAAACTTTTCCAGCTACCCATGCCCTGATTTGGACGGAATGTCAAACAAAGCCTACAAAATTTTTCAAAATACCAATTCTATCCTTAGATGAGCACTAAACAAAATTTTAATGACATATTTATCCTAAATTATTCTATTTAAACAAAATTTTAATGACATATTTATCCTAAACCATTCTATTTCTTTCTTAGCCTCCCAAATAACATCAAAATCACTACAATTCTTTTTTCTTCTTTTCTTTTCTTTCATAACTTAAGTTTTCTCATCTTTTCTTTTCTATCCTATGCTCACAAACTAGCCACAAAGGAAAAATGGCAGCTGCCGCCTTTTGCTGCAGGTGTTGTATTCTATTTGATGGATTAAGCTCCAATTCTAGTCAGAGTGAAGAAATTCTGGCGCTATTTAGTAACTCACGAGTAATTCGATCAAAAATTTGACTCGAATTCGATCAATCCAATCAAGTTTGAGTCGCTCGATAAGTTTAACAAGTCAAGTTCGAGTATTTAATAGTAAGGCTTGAATGAGTTTTTTAATTTTAATTCGTTAATATATTATTATTATGAAATTACCTTTGTGTTCAAAAGAGTAATTGAATTTATGAAATTTTTTTAAAGGACAACAATGCCTTTTCTCTAAAAAATTGTCGAAGAAAATGAAATTCGCAAATTTTTTTGACTGGAACTCCTGAGTTGAAGTCGAATTTTGTGAACAATGCATTGAGTTTGAGTTTCAGTAATACTACTTGCTCGAATTCGAGTATCTTTCCTACATGTCAAGTCAAACTTGAGTACGGTGATATTCAAATTCGACTCGACTCGATTACATCTTTACTCACCATCCGATCAGACTTACGTGCTGCTGGGCTTATGCTAATACACTTAACCGTAATTGGTAAAGGTATGTTTTATTTGAGAAAAGAATTAGAAGTTTCTCGCTGTACGCATCATTTATTATCCGTTGCATCATTGTACTTTACCTCCACGTGAATCTTGAATTATTACATAATCTAGAAATCAGGCCGAGTCCGCCTGATTATTCTTCTTGGACTACTAGCTACTAATTGAAAGTGCCAAAATAGGCAGGCTGCCTGTCAACCGTATAAAGTTCATGCTTTTTCTGCTAGTATTTGATTAAAGAAAGAAAAATAAGACTGTACTGATAAGTTTATACAATTAATCATTACCTGCCTCTCTATCTAATTATTATCAATACAGTTACAGAAGAACTTATAAGTTCCTGTTGACATAATTTAAATCAAGCATATTTATAATTTTAAGAATTTTAGAAATTAATTTGTTATTTGGTGACTGTATTAGATTTGGTGTCATAGTTAGTTTAGAAAATAGAGTTGGGCCATATTTTGATATTATAATTAGAATATAATTTGCAGTTATGTTGCTCTATTTAAACATTTGGAGTCCTAAGTTTGTATTTGAGGAAAATTAATGAATTGAAATAGAATATTTTATTTTTTTCCGTGCCTTTCTTATTATTTATTATTTATAAAATTCTAATGTTACTTTCGCTGCGTGGTTACTAAGAGCTCCTCCTACAGTTAAGATTTTTGGGTGAATTCCAAATTGGATGTCCAAAGTAGATCAAAGAAAATGAAAGTCCTCTCTCTCTCTCTCTCGTCACAGACCAACCATCGCTTCTTTTGCAGCTCCTTCTCCTCCACATCTTCCTTCTCCGCCTCCTCCCATCCTTCCTCCTCTGCCTCCACCTGTACTTCCATCGTTGACACCTCGTCTCTTCTCTTACTCATCTTCCTCCTCTGCTTCTTCCCACCATTGAACATCTACTCTCATTTACGCATGCTAAGAGCGAAATTATAGGGTTGCTTTCTGTAAATTGGCTCAAATCTAGTGAATCCAATAGCTGTAGCTAAAGATGACCGCCGGAGATGGCCTTCTCAGCACGACATGTTGTGGGCATCCCTTGTACATGGATTCTCCATTATTGGCCTTATTGATTTGAGGGTAATTTCTTGTTATTGACGCACTTACCTTGTAATTCTCTAAAATCTCATTCTGCTGATGACTTAGTCATTTCTGCCCTTCTTGTTGCTCTTCTACTCAGAAAAATGGATGTATGGTACTGGATCGAATGTATTGTTAAAAGACATCAGCTTATAGTTTGAAAGTTTTTAACTTCATTTTCACATGAATTTTTCTTTCAGTTCTGTCTCTAAAGGGTGCGTACTTAAATTGCAGAACGTGGTGGCCTCGATCTCCTGCGACAAAGCTGTTTGGGACGCCATCTTGAACAACAGGGCAGTTCAGGATCTCCGGGGCTCAATCTCTGCAGGTCATATGCAACAAATTTATTTGACAAAATTTTCAAAATATATACGTTTATTCCCCTGCCTCCTCTGTATGATTAATCAATTGCTGGTAAAGTAGTTGTGAAATATTTTATTAGATGCTGATGCGTATTCATCTCCATGTGTTTTTGAAATTAGCATGAAAAATGGGAAAAGGGTTTTTTTTTTTTATTTTTCTATATTCTTTGCTTGTTGATCATTGTGGGTTGGAAAAATTGAGGAATTTAATTGTTAGGGAAACTTTTTGTATTTTTAGTATGAAAATGAATAATATTTGTAGCATGCCACTGATATGGACATGGAAGCAAGGAAACGAGAAAAAGTTCCTAAGTCACTGGAGCATGCAGAAAATTTAAGCACTCTCACTCCACTTGCCACAAAAACAGGGCATTTAGTATACTTTAACTGCAAAATTATTGTGTGTACCGTATATTTCTTGAGCAGATCAAATGAACAATCATCTAGTTTTCAACCTTTGACTATTTTGATGAACATCCTGTGTTTGATGTATTGACTACCCTGATGGTAGTAGATACGGTATTCTTGTTGCAGAAATCTAGTTCCATTTCATATATCAACTGCGACAATAAAAGGTAAAAGTAAACAAGAGGAGGCAGCCATGAGTTTTACCAGGATAAAAGCCTTGATGTTCTCTCTTGTCAATCTTATGTCTGAGCTTTCATCTTCAGATATATCGAGCAATATATCAAGTAGATCCTTCATTTGTTGACTTGCATCATTGTTATGCTGACGCTTCGTCCTTGTCTCTTGATGTTCCTCTATGATCTTCTCAATCATTACATCAAACCTCTCAGCAATATACCTATGTTGTATCTGCTGCTTCATTGAAGTACTTTCTCTTGACCTCTGATCTGCAGAGTTATGCCTGAACATATACAATTCGTAGCTATCAACTCTCCTTACGGCTCAATGCGCAGCTACCTAAGTGAAGAATTGATATGAACAAACAAAGGGGTATTTGGAGATATGTGTTTTGGCTGGAATTTTTTTTGTTTTTAAGTTTCTATTTATTTACTGAAGAACATAAAACAGAGACAGAAACAAGACGAGGCGGTTGGAGTAGGGGTGGAAACGGGAGAAGCAGAAATTGGTTTATACAGTTGGCCTCTTGAGTTAGGATTTATTTGTAACTGATAGTTTTTAGCTTTTTGGTTTATGCAGTTGAAGCATTTGATCAAGTGTTTTTGTTACATATGTAGGGTTTATTTGTAACTGATTGTTTTCTTACCTTTTTTTCATGAAATATTGCTTCTTGATTTTGTAGTTATTGTCACATGAGTGAAAAATTGCTTCAACTTTTCCTCTCTCATATTTTTATCATGCCATTGGTACTTAATAGAGGAGTTTGAGTTTTAGTTGTGCATAGCTATTATGATTGATGAAATCTTTTTTGAATTTTGCATAAGTATTAGAAATAAGAAAGAATTTTGCTTTATTATAATATATCAAAACACAGTTGAAAATAATGGATCAAAACATGCTAAAGGAAATGCTCACCAAAGAAATTGATATGAGAGTGAGAAAAAATAAATTATTAAAGGCACAAATTGGTTCTTTCTTTTAAATCTTTAGTAAAAATTAGCTAAATGTAAGAAAAAAAAAGAAATTATTATATAGAAAAAAGAAAAAAAGAAAAATTTTATGTAAGCATTTTCTTGAAAACAATTCTAATTCCTAATGAATTCTTCTCTTATACAAACAAAGAATTTGGAATTTCAAATAAATTCTGTATCAATTCTATGCATTTTCCAAACGAAAGAATTGAAATGACTTGGAATTCCAATTCATAGAATTCCAATTCTATAGAATTTCGATTCTAATTCAATTCTAATTCTATAGAAGCAAACGCACCCTCAAAGTTTTCAAACTATACATTTCAAAATATTCAAAAATTTACACACTTCAAAAAATTTTTTAATAACTTCTACAGTAAATTACAGTGAAGTTTTAGACAAACACCCAAAAAACTCATTTGCCAAATGAGGCCTTAATTACTATTAAGGATTGAATTGATACTTTGATCTACTTTGGAAGGTCAAATTGAAATTCACCCTGAGAATTGTGGATCTAGAACTTTTATTTGTCTAGATTTGCCCACACCAAGCCAAGCTAGCTAACATTTTTATTGACTGTATAAAGAATAAAAAAACTATATAGAAAAAAAAAAAACAGTTGACAGTTTTTATTAGTTGTTTTCCCCACTGCATAATTTATACTCACAGCGTGAGCAGTAAGAATTGAAGCCTATTCTTTTATTTTTTTTATCCGTAAAGCATGATTTCTGGATTTGAGTCTCATTCTAAGCTATTATACCTTAAATAAAATAAATTTGCAAGGGTAAGGCTCTTAAGCCTTGAGAGGAAGTTTTATAATCTTTGCGCATATTAAATGCCTGGGATTATTTGCACAATTAATGCACCTTTGCACATTTCTAGCAAACTATCAGAGCTTGAGATTAGATATAGACTAAATTAGAGGTAAGCAACATTTACTACTACAAACCTGATAACGAAACGAAAGAATTTCGAGGAATGAGTACAACTTCTACCATAAAATCAAATAAAATTAATTGAACCTTTTGATTGTCAAGTTTCAATTCTTCTATTCTTAAACGGACCTTTGGTAAACTAAAATGACATAAATGAGTAAAAGAAATGATAACAAAGAAATTCTGATCAGCGAAGAAGATATCTACCCTGTCACTCGAAGTTTGGGACTTGGGTCTTCCTCGTCAACAAAATCATTATCAAAGAACCTCTTCCAATACCAGTGTTTCTTCCAAGCCCTTTCGTTCATTTCATCAATTGGGATGCCCTTTGTTTCAGGCAGAAAGAATGCAGCAAAAATGCCCAATGCTACAATCCAGGCAGCAAAGAGGAAGAAGATCCCTGATCTCCTGCGGCATAGCATGGTGAGAAAAGCTTGAGCTACGATGAAGGTGAAGACCATGTTAAAGCTAACTGCAAAGAAAAATCCAGCAGTTCTAGTCTCCAGCGGGAAGATTTCACTGGGAATCAGCCAACCGAGAGGACCCCAAGACCAAGCAAAGCAAGATACGAAAAGGCAGATCAAGAATGCAACTATATATGCATAATGTTTCGGTATAGAGTTTGTAGAATGCAAATGCTGTGCGAGAATTACTCCGACTGCTACCTGCGCCACCAAAGACAAACATTCCTTTGAATGAGTAGGTGTGATTAAAAATCAATTGAAAAACGCGTTTATGATGCAACTAAAAAATTTTGCACAATGAACAGCCTATCCAAACACACATCTTATGATTTTGAAAAAGGGATAGCATGCTTTGATTGTGGATCATGGTCAAATGACTCTCCAGCTAGCACAACATGCCTGGGCAATGAGCATCTGAATAACAGCTTCAATGAGCAAAAATCTTCTTCCGAGTTTATCAACCCCAAATATTGCAACTAAAGTGCATGCCGAATTGATCGAACCAGTAACCACAGCTGACAGCAAAGATGCATCACAACCATACCCCATTGTTTGAAAGAGCACCGGAGCATAAAACATATGATGACATTAATGCCCGTAAACTGCTGGTAAATTTGAAGAAGTGTGGAGCAAACGAGTTGAGGCCTACTCGAACGTTTCATGAGATTTCTAAATGGTTGTTTCACTTTCCTGGCTACTTCAGTTACATGTAAAATATCTTCATACTCCTTTTCAACATCTTTCAGGCCCCTAATTTTCCTCAGAGTCTCCAGGCCTTCTTCGGCCTTGCCACGCTCGATCAAGCTCGTTGGCGTCTCGACAATGATTAGGGAGCCGAGGCCAAGAAGAAGGGCAGGCTCGGCAGCTCCCCCATGCGATATCTTCCAGCCATTTGGATGTACCTTTGAAGTTTCATAGTTAATCACTTCTGCACACAGGGCGCCTACGGTGACCATCATCTGGAAGCATATATTATATTCAGGCCGCCGCGGTATTTTGGTGGAGCAATCTCCGATATGAATAGTGGCACTGCCTGCAATTTATTTTGGTACACAAGAAAAAGAGTCTCTCACCCAACTCAAATTTCTTGATCATTATGATTTTGTTGTATAGTCAATTTATGACATCAGAATATGGTCAGTAGATGAAAGAGAAGTAACTTGTAATCTCATTACCAATAGCAACAACACGAGCAAATATATGGTAAATGATGATCCAAAAGTTATTTTTTCTTCATGAGAATTTAGACCATCAATTAATATGCAAGAATCATCTTAAAATTAATTCTATTTTTGTACAAAAGATTTCTCGTCACAAAAACGAGTACCTATTAGTCAAATCCATTATTAACACATAGTAATTGTACATGAGGTAACGCGATCAGCTACGCATTAGCCAAACGACGTTACAATGTATTGTATCATATTTATATCTATTCTATTGAAAAGATAATTAATTATAACCTGATTCCCGAAACCAACTCCAGCACCAAGACAAAGCCTTCCAACGATGAGCATAATCAGAACCAAGGCCGAAACGTTGAGGACAACGCCGATCAAGGACAATAGAGACGCTAGTTGCATGGTCCGTTTTCGTCCTAACCGCGTGCAACATTTCAATGCCACAAGGCTGCAAACAACAGCAGCAAGGTACAAGAAAGACGTGAATAATTGAAGTAGTTGATTGTCATACTTGCAGTAATTGTTTTCCTTCGCCCTGTGCTTTTTGACGAAGACTATTGGAAAGAACTTAACAAGAAATCATCCATTGATGTCACTCCCCCTACAAATCAGTATCAACATTCTAAAATTAAAACTAAAATCAATCCTGGTTAGGGAAATATGTTGCCTGAATTCTTTTCTACAAATTCTATGCTAAACTTGTTATTGCTAAAACCTGTACTTTCCAATGAACTACAATTGTTTTAGTACGAGATGTTAACGGGTTACTAGTTAAGCAAGGTGATTGTCAAAGTTCCTACTAACTCTAGCTGCTAGTAACATCCACTGGATTGCACATTTTTTTTTCCTGACTTTTAACGCAATTAATTACACTTGGAGCTACACATCTCTCTTGAAGTATTTCACTCTATTCAACAAGATCGGTATCTATATTCATAACAAACCATATGTATAGTAAAATTATTGTACAAAATGATCATTCCAATGGAAAGTAAGGCACTAATGCTAAAATAGTACAGAACCTGAGATACCGATATCGTAGCCAGACATAAGACCACCACAGGCTGCAATGATGTTGCAAACCAAGACCTGTCCAGTGAGCTTGGCTGGGAAATCCGCAGCCCCTTTCCTAACTGCCATAATTGGGGCGGCCATGGCTTTCGTTTTGCTTGTTTTCTTACTCAAATGATCCAAGTCACATACCGGGAGGATGGCAAAGCATATATGTGTGTCGTACTGCAACTGGGACTGAACTTTCTTAGTAATCAAGGAGTCAAGATTCGACTTGTGAAGTGATAAGGCCGAGACGAAAACGTTAAGAAGACTAGTATGAAACAACACTACCCAGTGGATTCTCTAGTTGTGCAATTAGTAACTGTTTAATAATAATGAGGTTTTATATTGAATTATCCATAAATTTATCCAATATCTAAAGTAACGAATCCCTCATTTTACGGATTCATCCCCTGGTCTTGAGAAACAAATAAGCACATTTAGATTTACTTTCTTGACCAAATTGTATCAAGACAAGGAGTTTTGGAGGCGCATGCGTAATTGCTATGACTCGTTTCTGTGTTAATCACGTGTTTCACTGCTTACAACTAGGAAGCAAAAGAAAAGGAAAACAAAAGAAAAAGAAAGTTGGGTCATTGAATTGCATATTTTATAACCGCTCGTGAATTTACAAGGTTGACTATTAATCAAATGTAGCACGTAACATTACCATCTGTTTAGTTGGGAGGAATCACCAATACATTATGGGTTTTGAGCTCACTACTCTCAAATCCCTGACCTTATGTTTGGTTGGGTACCTAATCTATCACTGTGGAAGACCCAAGATGGAGAAACGCCATTCCAGATAAGATTGGGGGGCACTTTTGCTTCTAGTCTCATTAGTCCCCAACTCCTCCACGCCCTCCTTCCCTCTCCTGTCTCCTTTTTCTCCTCTCCCTCCAGCACTACTCTTTCTCTTCTCACGAACCATATTCAGACTAGAGGAAGAGGCACTCCTTTCTCTTCCTTTTATCTCCCTGCTCCTGCTTCTCCTCTCTCCCCATCACTGCTCTTTCTCCTATCCCAATCCATATTCGGACTAGAGGAAGGCGGCTCTGCTGCCATATGATAGGTTTATTTTTTGTGTTTTGATGGCTAAGTAGGATTTGCACTTACTAGGCTATTATTATGCTGATTGACCATGGATTTAGGTCCATAATATGGAGAGATGTTTTGATAATATTATCTTAGGTTTTGATCTTGATTAAATAATTGATTTGCAATGATTGGCTACTGAGTTTGGTTTATTGGATTTGTTATATCACATGAAATCGGATGGGAAATTTGAGGTAAGATCATGGAAGCTCTTGTGATTAGTCCATCATCACGAACATCGTGCATGAAAAAGAAATTGATTCCTAGAGTAATGCGATCACTGCCAAACATATATATTTTTTCAATATATATATATATATATATATATATATATATATATTCATCAAATGCAATTCTGCGTAAACCCATTGCCATTGAGGATCATAATTATTGTCATGCCCGTGCATAAGCCAAATGATGCCTATTTCCTATAATTGCAAAAAGGTGGGGTTAAATCCACACCTTTTAAACTAAAATGTCTATAAAGGCTACACTATTTATCAGGATTTCATATAAACATCTTCAATACCAAAACTAATCTTTTATGATGGAAAAATATGGAACCAATCAAGTTCATTTTTTCCTCCACTTTGCTGTATCGTTTTATCGTCCTCTATCCTTACCATCCAATATTGAAAATTTATATTAGCAACTATCATCATCAACTAAAATGTACTAGAGCATAGCAAAAAATTTACCAGAAAAATATTATTCATAATAAAAAAAACAAAAATTTCAGGATCAAAATTGAAGGGTGATGCTTGATTTTCAAATATATATTGATAATAAAAAAATGACGATCATTGCAATGATTTCATATTCACTTGGAACTAGAAATTCGAAATTCTCCATTTAATGATAATAGTTGTTGCTATAATTCGTAAATATCAGAAAGTAAGGAATAGGGATGATGAAATGACGCAATTGAGTCGAGGGAAAAATAAACTTAAATGGCGCTTTCTTTCCTATCACAAAAAGTTAGTTTTGGTTTTGAAAAAATTCTATGAAATCCTGATAAATAGTGTGGAATTTATAGATATTTTGGTATGGAATGTGTGGATTTAAACTAGAGGGTGTGGATTTAGCCTCATCCATTGCAAAATTGCTTAGACGACAGAAATTTATCCCTCATTTGCATGGGAATAGCTACGCAAATAGCATGTAAAGGGAATCCTTTTTTTGACTTGTCCTCCATCCCAAAAATAATTTAGAAAATGATGTATACTTGTTTGTTTGGATAGAGTATTATTTGAAATATTATTTGGAATAATTACTGTAACACTTTTTGTGATGTGATGTATGTGAGATAAAAAGGTAATTGAGAATATAAAAAGGTGGGTTGAAAAATATGTTTATAATGCAAGCGAAATATTATGTGAGATATTTGTGCTATCCAAACACTCCTAGATCTTTTGTATATAAACCACTGCCGCTTTGATTTTAGACCCTTGCTTTGGTTTTTATTCCCTAATTCAAAATTGTAATTCAAATTTAAATGAAGAGTTCAACATCTAACAATATTAGTTAAATTGGTGTTCGAGGAAGGAAAGGAGAACGAAACGTCCTTTATTGTTGAGTCGGAAGATGGAAAAGGTAGAGGTTATACTGCAGCCTTTAAGGATTGTGGCTGAAAGAAAGGAAAGAGGAGTTGAGACATGGTGGGAAGAAGAAGACAAAGGGAGAGGTGGTCTTTCACAATGGCTAATTAGTCAAAACCCAGAAGTGAACACAAGCAATTGAAAATTTAAGCTTTTTTTTTTTTTTTATCTCACACCGTTTGGGACTAGACATGGAGATGGATGGATTAAATATACGGAGAATTTGAACCGATCATATTTTCCCACCATAGCTAACATATGGTATGGGTGGGAGTAGGCATTGATTTGGATCTTACCCAAAGCCAACCTACATCCAATGTACTTGAATATGGTTTGAATTTAATTTGGGTAAATACATAAAACCCCCCTGTGGTTAAGGAAATTGACACGAAACTTCCTCATTATTTAGAAACACCCACTTAACCTCCCCGTACTTTGGACTTCTTAGGATTTTACCTGCTAACCGGCTGGGAAGCCGGTAATAATATGAAATACCAAAAATACCCTCGTATATAATATGTGAAAAGTTACAGATGCAATTAGTCATTAAGAATATGAGTTATCCCGTGTTGCTTTAATATATCCCTATCCCTGGCAACTGCAGCCCCACCGAGATAAACATGGTCAACGACCTTTGAACACTCCTTATCAAAGAAAGCTATCTTTTCTCTTTTAACGAGTCCTCCATTCCTATCTGAGTTCCTCTGTATATTAGATAAATCAAGCTTCAACCTCTCTCCACCACATCCCGAGTGCTAGGGAGCGGCCACTCACCAATATCATCAGATCCAGCTTTTGGCCAATCATCTAAGCTCCGACGAGCAATTGATAATGGCTGCAGTGGGGGAGACACGACCTATTCTTAAAACTGTTCTGGGATCTCGGAGTTAAAGGACCAGAAACTCTGCGACCCTACCCATTACCGTAGCATTCTCAGGTGGATCTAATCCATCCTTTTCACTATACGGGTTAAGAGGTAGCAACGTAGTCCGCGAAGAGGACCATGATGCGGACCTCCAAAACAATTTCCAGCCACCCACAACTTGGTACAGCCGCTGCAAACCACCCTCACAACCACCACCTCCTTCACCACCCGATGGGACATCCTCCTTCCACTGCTCTGTTCTATTTTGTTCTGTTGTTGTTTGTTGTAATTGTAGTTGTAATTGTAGAGAAACAACCCAGATGCTTTATGTTGCATTTCCTCAATCCGCCCCCCAACTTGAAGGTTTTGATTTGATGGGCAAATCCAAAACAGGCATGCCCTTTTAACTCGCTAGCTTCCTTAATCAGTTACAAAAGCAAAATCACGCCCCTTCCTCCCTCTCCCCAACCCACGACCACTCTTTCCCCCATCCCCAGCCGTACATAAGAGTACCCTCCCAGAAAAAGCCCCCGGTTCTCAGTCCCCCAGATTTTATTCCTCTCTTTGGAATTTCTCGACCACTTTAATTTCTAGGCCCCTATCCCAAGTCAAACCACCATCTACTTCCGAGTAGAAGTAGCCTGCAGGATGAGCAAGAATGCTTACGAAGCACTGCAAGCAGGGGACGACGGAGATGGATTAATAAAGGGCATGGATGTCGTCATGGAAGAATCTACCTTTCCTGTAACAGCATTTGATGATGATGATCATATGAAGCAAGATGAGCAAGTGATGAGTGTTAATGGTGGTTTTGGTGAGAGGGAGATCTGGTTTGGAAGAGATCATCGTGGTCATGACATGGAGGGCAAAATTGGAATGAAACGAGTTTCTTCTAGTCACAAGTTACCATTAGGTCGCGTCAATATCACTCGCTAGCTTCCCAACAGGTTAGCAGGTAAAATCTTAAGAAGTCCAAAGCACAGGGGGGTTAAGTGGGTGTTTCTAAACAATAAGGAAGTTTCGTGTCAATTTCCTTAACCACAAGGGGGTTTTATGTATTTTACCCATTTAATTTTTTGAACTTATACCATATCTAGAGCCAAATCATGTAAAAGAGTTACGAGTTTGGATAGGATCTGATTTTTTATGATCCATATTCAAATTCAAATTCATATTAGATTTTATCCAAATCCATGTATATATAATTAAATTATATATGTATATATATACACACACACGCGTGCGTGCGCACACACACATATATATTAGTAAATTTATAAAAAATTCTATTATTCTATGATTATTAGACCGAATACAGTAAGACTTCATGATTGTTTTCTTTTTTCAACTTAATTCTGGTTGTTATTGTAATTAATACAAACTTTTTCAGAAAAAGGAAAAAAATTAAAGACAAATAAATAAAAGATTTGGCCTAAATACATTTGAATTTTTAAAAATAAATAAGAGCAGTCGATAATAGTTTTTTTTTGAGTTCATAATATTACATTCAATTTTTTGAATATTAATTTTATTATTTAAAAAATTGGATGGTGTTTACATAGTTTTTTGAAATCTATTTTTTAATATATTTTTATTTTAGTGTATTTATAAAAATACAACAGATTCCATTAGATATCCAAATCTAGAAGGGCCTAGGTTTGAACTTATTTTTTCAAAATCTATAAAGATTTGGATTTGACTTTGAATTGGAATCTAACTAAATTTAATGAATTTAAATTTGGATCAAAGGTTCCATTCCAAACCCTACCCATTGACGTGATTAATTGGGCACGAGAAATTTGATGGGTAAGCAAATATTTTCCTCGAATAAGGAAAAAAAAAACCAAATATTTTCGAAAACGACGTCCGCAGAAAATATTTTCTGCAAGGAAAATTTTTTAACTCAGCCAACGGGCCCACAGTGAAACGAGCAAAAAATTGCTTGCAGAGTTGGGCATTGGTCCCCTCTGCACATACTGACATACACGAGGTTGTAGACTTGTAGTTGTACGGTGATCGTTACTAATGAAATGGTCCTCGTTTTGAAAAAAAAAGGGGGGTACATTTGGTCACATCACGATGTCAGGGGATGTAGGTAAACTTTTAAGATTTTTGGGGCCGTGGGTGATATTATCAGAAATATCCTGGGAGGTTTCTAAGATTGACCCATTTATTTATGCCCGGGTTGCTTATGGCCTATAAAACCCTATTCATCCAGATCTTAGGGCAAACGTTAGAATGGCGCTTCGACGAGTTGTCCTGAACACAGCGAGATCCATATCCATGGTCGGCTATCAGCTGAAAGGCGGTCACGGGAGGGGGTTTTTGGGAGCAATCAACAGCGGCCTCGACAATTACTCTTACCTGAACAATCGTAAGCTCAGCCCTTTTGTCTCCTTTTCCCGTCGTCACTACCATCTACCGCCTCCTCCGCCCGTAAAAGTTTTCTATGAGATACCCGAAGGCGGCTTTAATTTTCCCATCGACAATCCTGAGAACGACGATGGCACCAAAGAATATGCTCAGTTTGCAGCGAAGGCTCACAACGAGGTCTCCCAGGTTGTTTTTTTTTTTTTTTTGGGTGGCAGTCCTTGTTTCCTTTTTCTTCTTTTCCCGAAAATTTAAATTACTTAATGTGCCACTGCTGCTGAGGAGGTGGGGTCGGGATTTTTTTAGGATGGAGGAGAAGATCATGTGCGGTTTGTGAGGTTGGTAAGAGCATGGAGATCGATTAATCTTTGCGAAAGTTATCATATGATGCTGGAGGCTGTGGATGGAAAGGGCGAGGTCAATCTTTACTATGCAGAAGTTATTTACGATCCATTAGAAAATGTGACAAAGTTGGTTAAGTGGGAGCTGGTGGACCAGTCCTTTTCATACCCTTTTGAAGAAGCTAGGTAATCAATATTCATGTCTTTTAATTTATATTACCTTTCCATTCGTTTAAGGTAATGAATTCATGTTGATTATCACAAACTTAATTTTAAAGTTCATTTTTTTTATAACATCAAATTCTTGTTTCAAGCACCATTGATTCACCTGCTAAATATAATATGTTGTATTCCGTGTTGTTCCCCTCTTCTCCCCCTCCCCCGGGGTGGGGGCCATGAATCTATTACAACGAGAAGCATCCTAACTACCACAAGGAGTGGAGTGGAGTGGAGTGGAGGATTTGGTTTGGAGGGGAAACGCCCTTTAAACATGGAATTTGTAAGTAACTTATTATTAATTTTTGGCTGTGCTGCACAGCTTATGAAACTATCTGTAAGATGCACTCGAGCTAGCCGTAGCCTCATTTAAGGAGCTCTATGTGTTGCATGAATTGTCATCCTCCTTAGACTTTTTGCCAGCTGGGAGGCGGAGAGATTAGTATATGCTCAGAAGACTTTGAGCTGAAATTTTTCTGTATTTTGAGCTGCACTTGAGTCAATAAAGGCAGAGAGACAAATTTTATTGCTCTACCTGTCAAGGTTTAGGATTGAAATGGTTTGGTGAAGGTAATAATACATAATCACGTGTATAGTGCAATTCATTTTCTGTGTGGCTAGTGATTTGTTGCAAAATTCGTGCTTTGGTGTATTGGTTGAGCTATTTGTTTACTATTTTTCTGTTAATGGGTGAGTAAAATGGAAGGTGCTGCTTTTCATTTGTTACTAAGATGTAGTATCATTTATTTTAATAGCAAATAAAGCTGAGTTCGATCCTCAAACTTGGGTTTTGGCTGCCATTTGCTGATGTCTAACACATTTTTACAGAGTAGAAGAAGATTTATAAACTTAAAGAGAGATCTTTAGGTGGCTCAGGTTGTTTGAGGATGCAAAATGTTGTGAGCAAAAGTGAATTGGTCCTGATGCAACATTCTGAGACCTTTGAAGAGTTTAGCAAATATGAGGTAATAGAGCTGGAATCTAGTTGATATTAGGAAACGTGTTTTATCTTAAGGAGATACATAGGCAAAAATTTAAGACAGACTTATGACTATCCAATTTTTTCCTGTCAGTTATTGAGCTTAAGTCATAGCTAAAAGACATGATAAAGTTCAGATGGAAGGTACAGGATGTATCTGCTGTTCTATTTCAATCAATGGTCTCTTACCAGACTTATAGGTGGGTGCTTAAGAAGGCCAAGTTTTTTAGTTCTTCTTTAATATGAAGTCATGATTTTGTTGAGTGTATGCACACTTTCTATGGGGTGGGCTTCAAGTGTGGTACCAAATCCAGAAGTGATGATACCTAGTAGGCGTATGAGATATCGATGTGTTCAACGTACCCCGCAACAAGGGGATTTAAGAAGATTTGATCTAGAAATAGATGCTTTATGTGGAAAAGTTCTGAAAAATACAGCACTTTCTCAGGAAATGGCTTAGTTGCTGAAAATTATATGATTTGTAAATGCTATTTGTGCAGAGTTACCAAAGAATAGGATAATTTTGCTGATGCAGTATGGGATGGTTGTAAAGTTCTGGGAGGATATGTTTGTTTGGACCTGAAAGCTTGAAATTAGGATTTTCTGCTGTAAGTTGAATTGAATAGACCTTCTGTACCTACATTGTCATGGAAAGGGAGCAGCTTCAGTTGGAATTTATTCTCAGAAGAACATTGCAGGAAGCGCCAGTACCCTTAAAAGTTTTACTCAGTCTTCTAGTTGTATTTTCATATGCAGGAACATACAAGAGATGGAAATGGAAGGGACACGAGCGTGCAGTTTCTCATGGCTGTGTTACTAGAGCAAAAAGTGGGTGTAGAGGATGTTGACTAAGGAATTTTATGTGGAATAATGTATCCCAAAGTGTTTTTTTTTTTTAATAACTTGGAACACATCATTCAATGCCATATGTCGTAGAGAAAGCTTAGAAATACGAGTGATCTCTGTTATGTACTTTGGTCAGAGTTACATAAGAGAGACTTTTGAAGCTGAAGAAAGTTATTCTGAAAGAGAAAAGAGACCGAGTGTTATTTATGCTTGTTTGTTCTACTGTTGCCACAGTATGTAATCCTACTTGGTTAGATTTGTTTGAATTGTCTGGCATATTTCTTGTATACAGGTATCTAATTTGATTTAACATGACGAAAATGGCTAGTTACTTAGGAAAGAGAAGAATTTGTGTTGAAATTTACATGATTTATTCTGCTTCCCCTAGATGGAGTGAACAACTCAAAGAAGAGGTACGACGATTGGAACAATTTTATCAAGAGATGCCACAGGAAATGGAAAAGAAGAATGATTTGTAAGTGCAGCTAATGCTTCTCTTTAATTTTTTTTTCCCATTGAATGCTATAGAATCTCCTGTCAGATGTTAAATTGTCTAATTTTTATCTCCCTCATATTTGATTGTGTTCAATCTTTACCTTTGATCTTCTTTGTGGCGTGCATGTTGAGTGCTTTGGGTGCTTCCATGTTTAGAATGCCTTTGCTCTCATTTTTTCTTGCATGCATTAGTATTTATCTCACGGAGAATATTTAAGGAAGTGTGTAATAGAAGTGGGACGAAAGGTACAACCTGCAATATCCACAGATCATTAGGGAGATCCAGAATCATTTAATCTTTGTCAATTGCAATTTGTGATTTGTGTAGGGACGGACTTCAGGGAAGGATATTTGAATTGGTGGTTAATGATTGCATGAGTAGAGACAATAATGATGTTGTAATCAGTTTTCAGGAGGAACTAACAAAGTTGGGGATGGCCAAATCATAAGAAATTCATGAAATACTTGTGTCATTCTGTTAACTACTGAAAGGAATGGATAGAGGGATGCAAACCACAGTTCTGTCTATAAGTACCCTCCCCATAGAGGTTTAATTCCTTAGAAGCAAGTTGGTTGTATGGATATCGTTCTTTGCTTGGGAGGCTGTTCATCAAGAATAAGGTGACAGCTTATGAAAGAAAACATATTCCTGGTAATCTGTAATATAGAGTGAGGAGATTGTAATCATACTTGTGAAAGGGGCAGACCATTGGGTTATGAGCTGGGCAGAAAAGAATTCTTGTTGAGCCTCTCAACCATGCCTAGAACTGAGCAATTGCTGGTTCAAACCTAATTTAGGAACTCTGGTAATTGTATGATGGAAGTGACTCTGTCAGGGGTTGATAAGGGGCTGACTTTGTGTCCATGGGTTTGTTTCCATGGAAATGATTCTGTCAGGGGTTGATGAGGGTTGACTTTATGTCCATGGGTTTGTTTCCATGAGCTGAAAACAAACAAATATTGCACCAGTTGCAGCTCCAGTCCTGCTGGATTTCCAACTGTTAAGCTGCATCTCACGTCAAAGGTCTCTGTCTACCATGTGGTGGTGAATTTTTGTTATTGAATTTGTGAATTCTGAATCGAAATAGTCTATGCACAACTAAAAGTTACAAGTTGGCATTCACATTCAATTTTAAGTACCAGTAAGGCTGCCATGATGGAAAAATGTTGTTATTTTCTGGCCTTGGCTTCCTTGTAACTGCGCTTTTAGCTCCTTGTCTGGTCTTTAGAACCTTTGAGGATACAATTTTGTGGGCGGGTGAAGATGGATGATATGTGCATCCATCCTGATTAGTGTAAATACTTCTTAGATCCAAAAATCATCTCTGATAATTGGTAATTTATTGCTCTCAGCTATGGTGCCAATGTTTATCATTTGATTGCTAGATACATGTTTATCTGTAGTTCCATAGGTAAGGCATTAAAAGGCTCTGCAGTTTGATCATCTGTCTTGTCCTGTATTTCAATTTTCTGTAGCACTTTTGCTGTATTCATCCTTCACTTATGTACTATCACCCTTTCTGTATGCATAACCATTTGCTATGAACTTTTGTATCAGGGACAGAGAATCAATCTATAACTTTACATATGGTGCATGTCCTACTCTCACACTTGATACAATCTGCCCATATGCTATGCTTGGAATGCCTCGTGCTTCGAGAAGAGACTTACATAAGAATGAGGTGTTCTCCTGTCTCTGTCTTTCTGGAGGTGTCATGTCTATCTGTTTCGCCCGCTTAATTTCAATTAAAAATTTTATTAGCTTGTTTGTCCCCAACGGCCTAGTCTCCGCCTAAGGTTTACAGATCAACGCATTAAATGAACATGGATGCATTTTTTGTTGTGTATGATCTTCTGAATCCAAACGCTGGTTCTGTGAGTGGACTTCTGTAAAAAATAAACGAGGGATCTTTTGAAGCTAAAGAAGTCCTCTCGTGCAGATGGAATCAGATTGTGTTTCTGATATATTTGGTTTTGCTCTACTAGTCTAGCATTAACTGGTTTTCGTTTCTGAAGTTTACATAACCTGTTACTCTTTGTACAGTTTTCAGTTGTTTGAAATGTTTCTCACGAACTGGTTTTTTATTTGATTCAATAAAGGCAAGTATTAATATTTGTTTCTGGGTCATGTAACTTGTTACCTTTTCTACAGATTGACGAAGTAAATTGAACAAAGAGGCGTTTATGGAACGAGGTGCAAATGTGGCCAGCACTTTCGCATTGATCTTCAATGCTTCCCGAGCTACGCTTCTGTTCACATATTAGAAACCTCTACTTTCTGTTTCCTGCTCTTATGAGATTGTCATTATTTATATTGGTATGATGTTTGAATTTCCCTTATATATATATATAATTATGGTTATTACTGAACTATGTGTCAACCAAATTCTCCGTTTGCCCTTGACTATTTGTGCTTGGACCAACTTGCTCTTTTAGGGTCCGTTTTGTTTAGGAAAATATTTTCCATCGAAGTCATTTTCCTGAAAAATCACTTCCTTCTCCACAATTTTCCAGTGTTTGGTTATTTAGTGAAAATATTTTCCAAATTCCTTTTTTCATAATTTTTCGGTATTTGGTTTGTCAGTGAAAATATTTTTTGACTTCCTTTTTTAATGTTTGTTGATATGTTGCAAATGTTTTTCTATTCTCAAAACATTCATCTCATTACAAGCGTTTTTTAGCTTTTATCCATTATAATCATATTATCATTTTTATAAAATATTTATTCAAATTATACCATGAATTCTTAAATGGAATTATTCATGACACTAATGAATTGGTTTTTGATCTTCCTTTTAAAAAAAAATCATTAAGGGGGTGAAGTGGATTCAATACATTGTGTAAGAAAATGGGCGATTTTGATTGGACATGGGAAAAGGATGCTTGCTTGTCCTATTCATACCCACTAGAAAGTAACCAGCGAGATTGTAGCGGTCTAGCATCAATGAACATGCCCCTACCATTTGGCTCAACATTAAACTGTCTTGCTATTGACACTGATAAGTAGACACTTTGTTAACTCGTCTGAGCATCAAGCAACCATACTAGCAGTGAAGATGCTATGGTATTGCGTTCACAACACAGGAAGGCAAGGATCATAGCATACAATACTGCAGCATGTATCAATCAGTTTTATATGTAGATCACAACATGAAGACCTACAAGAAGGATATAGAATGGGTAGAAAAGCTCTGTTCTGTTCACTATGTTACGAGATAGCAAAATTAACCGGGATTGCGCAAGGAAAAGAGACTTGGGACGTTATAAACCAGCTAAGAGGAAGAAAGGGCCAAAAACTGTTTATTAGAAAGGAGCCTTTCTGCAGTTTCAAACACAATGAAATACCATAAACAACCAGAAGGCGTTAGCTAATATGGACAAGAACTAACAAGGCAGCAATAGTTCCAACCACCAAACATATATTTACAACAATCATGTATACAGGATTTGTTTTTGCAAATATAAGCAAGGTTGTGCTTTGAATTCCCTAAGCAAAGGTTACAAATCTGTGGAGCCTTTTCTGGAAAGGGCAAGATTGCTTCTGACTGAAGCATGAGAACTACCAAGACGTAGGTGCACTGAGACCCTCCTGAAGATGATGTTTGGCACTTGGGGTGGTAGCCAGCCCGTGTTGCCAGCAGTGTGGCCTTCCAAAGATTGAGCTTCACCTGATATGACATTAGTCCGTCCCTTCCTTATCTTTGACCTGCTAATCTTTTTTCCAACAAAAAGGCCCAGCTTCATAGCAGTAAATAGACCCAAAGCAATCAGAAGTGGCCGGACTGCCCAGTGACAATCCTCAAGGTGCTGATACTTTTTCACCACTCCAGGAGAAGTGCTAAAAGAAACACACTGAACTTCAGCTGGATTAGCTAAAAAGCTGCTATTTTCATTACCAAATGTCAACCTACCAGGAAACCTAACAACAAGGCACCCATTTGGTAAGACTTGACAAATTCTCCCAGTTTTCCACTCGCCACCTCTTTTTCGGGGCCATTCAAATCGAGGATTAAATGTATCAGACTTCAGCCTAACAAATTGCCCAACACAGTAAGTTTCTGCTATCTGGAGCTCTGAATATCTTCCCTTCCAAAGTGTCTCCATTCCTATAAATCCAGCAGCTACACTCCATCACGGTTGATTAGATGAAGGATACCTACTGGTGAATGTTTCTTTCCTTCAGCCTTCAATCGCACCCAATCTCCAGCAGCAAATCCATAACTTACACGTTCCATTGGGCATCTGCCGATGAGTCTTCAATCGATGGTCTTCAATCGTTGAGATTCTTGAGAATGGGCATCTGTCGAAGTGGAAGAATGCCTTTAGGCCGTGCTTTTAAGAAAGGAAAATAACTTCAGAATAATAGATAAGAAAGTTATTTTCCTTCCTCGGTGTAAGTTATTTTTCATCAGAAATCATTTTCCCAAATTAGATTGTGTCCAAACAGTGGCAAATTAGGAAAACATTTTCTAGAAAATATTTTCCGTCCAACCAAACAGACCCTTAATTTATTTTGTCTTCTCCTCTCCTATCTTATTATTTAGTAAAATTTACAATATTTTTATCAAATCCCTTTAATGAATCAGCACAACAGAATTTGACTCTACTGGATTGACGCTTAATTTTTTTTTAAATACTTGAGCAAACTGGTAAATTTTTGCAAAGGTTACCTTTGCATCCATTTGGCTATGCCATATTTATCCTCCTACTTATGCCTAATTATGGTGCTACTTAGGTAAGCAATTATTGATTTTAATTTTTAAAATTATAAAATAGATATTTCCCTTAATAAATAACAAAATATTGGAGACATGCACATAATTTTAAAATTGACATTAAAAATATTTATAATCGAGTCAGCTCAACGAAACAATGAGTCAGGTATCTTTATACTCAGACTCGTCTTAACAACTCTAACTTGATCGATTCGAATTCAAACTCGAATTTGGTGTTGACCAAGTTCGCGGCCTGACTGGATTCATTAGTGGCCTAGTCCTAATTCCACCTTACAAGAATCCGTTGGCTCAAAGTTTCTAGAATGGAACTTTAGGAAATAGACAGCAGAAGGAATTCTATATTTAGTGATCACTGGAAATAGAACTCAGGAATTCTGTATTTAGTGATCACTATTTATTTAGTCCTAGCAAGAAATGATACAATTCGGGTAAGTAGCAAGAAATGATACAATGGCTTTTTTAAAACCATATCCTTGAAGTACTACTGTGACCGCACAGAACCAGAAGAAATGCTAATAATATCTTTATATCTTATAAGAAGACGTTTGGAGGGTTCCTGTTCATTGCAATTTCATCTGCTCTCTTCAGGGCCATTTTTGTCCTTGCAGCCTTTTGGTTGTTCTTTTTCTTGGAGCTAAGTCGTTTGGAGGGTTAGTGTTCATTACAATTCGTTTGCTCTCTTCAGGGCAATTTTTGTCCTCCAAGCCTTTTGGCTGTTCTTTTTCTTGTAGCTATTAGAACTGGCTGTTGCTTCTTGCAAGGCTTAGCCGAATGTTAGTGGACTGTTTTGCAGCATTTCTTTTTAACCATGCCCCACACGTCTTACTTTATTTTCTACTATATCCTTTTATCTCAGCTAAAGCTATAGACAAACGTCCTGATCTCAAGACTAGGGCTGCTGAGACAAATAAAGCACCAAAAATTTATACTATAAATTTAAACTTTCTCTCATTATCTCATTTTTGAAACTCCCTCTAGGTATATAATTAACAAAAGATATCAATAACCTGTGAGAATAGATATAAAATACCAGAGATTGGATAAGCTTCAGCAAATACTTATACAAACTGACAACATTCAAGTGACCCTATACTATTGTAATCATGTCAGTCACAATCTTGTCAACTCTAGAAAATATCAGCGTGATATGATTATATCTATTTAATTCATTCTTCTAAACCTTATTCCTAATTCTAAAAAATGTTGGTCCAAGTTTATCAGATGTCAAAACTTCAGAAATTCTAACCTCAACTACTTTAATGCATATGTCACCTGATTATTTAAACATATGTCAGCTTCTCATGTTTTTGGATAGACCACAAGACATTGCTGCTGTATTTGAGAAACTCTTAAGAACAAAAAGTAAGAATGATGGTTTATTGGGATTTCAAATAGCATTTGACCTTGTAGAGAATGAACACCAAGCTTATCTTTTGAAAATGAGGGACTAACTTTCCAGTCCCAAGAAAGATATTCAGATAACAGAGGGTAATCAATATTCTGAAGGAAACTATTTATGCTACAAAGTTATCAAAAATAAAAGGGATGCTGTCTCGAAGACTTCCATACAGTTGACATTGCAATTCTTATATAGTTATAATAAGTAAGACATTTTTCCTATTTTCTTTTCTTTTCTTCCCAAGATGCTTTCCCAGTTTCCTAGATTTCTTTGAAACATTTGACTAATTGTTAGCTTTTTGCATATGAGATTCCATTTCATAATTCTCAACACAATAAAGCAATCTGTTAAGATGAGAAATAATATTTTAGTTAGCACAAGATAAGATGTGCATAATAGTTTAAAAACATGGTTAGTTAGTTCAAAATAAGATCTGAGTACGATCACTCAATGACATTTAGTAAATCAAATTTGATTACAATGAAAAAAATATCAAAGACAAATAGCAAATAGCAAGCATTCTCAATTTCAAATTTTGTATGCTTGGTAACTTTTTCACATGAACAAAGTTCAGTTTTCAGAATTAAATCAGAGGCTGTTTCTCCAAATCCCACATTAACTACTTTACATTCCATATTTACAAGGGGAAAATTTTTTTATCCAAGGGGAAATTCCAAAACTTACAAGGAGGAAAAGGAATTGAGAGTCAAGTTAGTTTTCAAAACATTTGTAAAATATGGTGCTTTGTTTAAAAGTTAAAGTTTGATATCAAGTTTTTGATATCATAGCACAATCATAGGAACGGATATCAAGTTTTTGATGCTCATATATTTCATTGTATGATAAACAACTATGACAATATGGTGCGTTACTGAGAATACTGATTCTATGATGGAGAGGACTCAAAACATCTTGTAGTCATTGAAAAATATTAAGTTGCTTAGTGATGCATTTTGTGTCAGTTGATGTTTCTTAGCATATAAAGTTTAATGTTGCACAAACACACACTTTTTAAATACAAATTTTAAGTACACACCACATCCATCCATATATATAATTTTAAGTACAAATTATACTATAATATGCACTAAAATATATAATATAATACCTACCATAATATGTATGATTAGGACTATCAATAGGTCTAACTGGCATGAGTTCGGCCTATTCAACTTGAGAAAAGTATGATTGCATCAGTAACACTCGATTTAAACATGAGTAGAGCCTGGGTGTCA